CAAAAGCCCTCAGGGCTCTCACATGCTCTGCTTGCAAACTGGGCAAATTTTATTTATTTATTTATTTTTAAAAAGCTGGAAAGCATCCCCTGGTAATGGATTATTTTGTCCCACAGAATGCCCTGTGTCTCTCGTGTCCTGCTCCTGGGCACTTGCAGAGGTTTACAAGAGCCTGGTGTCCCAGCAGAGCCCCTGGGGACCAGGCAGGGCACTGGGTCCAAGACAAAGAGCATCATCCCCACCACAGAGGTTAATCACTGCTACACAAAAGGTCTTTTAAGCTTTCCTAATAAAATTTCTTCTCCTGCTGGATGAACCAGCTCCAGCCTCCTCCCCACCTCCACAGGGTCCTTGGGGGAGACAGAGGAAAGAGCAGGTTTTTGCTTTAGTTTCTGGTAATGTAAAAACCACACCAGAAAATGAGCTGGGGCGGGAAGAGAGGGATGAATTCCCAGTGCAGGCCTGTGTCAGTGTGCACTCATCCACTTCCTTCCTTCATTTGCTGGTGTCCAACATCCAAACTGCTTGAAACAAGGAGCTTCAAGCACTTCCATCCCTTTTTGCTCTCTGGATGCAATTAAATTAAGCTAAGGGGATAAACCCAGCTAATAGAGTTGAGCAAGCCACATGAGCAGCACCGTGACCGATCCTGATGTCCAGGAAACACAGGCACATGGCTGAGCCCCCATCATACTCCACCACTTGTCCCTTGCTTCCTGAACAAACCCCCTTGGGGCAGCATCCCAAGGGAAAACACCCCCGGAGCACCATGTGCCTCCCTGAGCCCCTCTCTGAGGGCTGCTCTTTGTTTCCCCTGGTGCTGCTCCTTTTTTTTTAAAATACAGCCTAATACAATTTTAATGAGGCCAGAACGCCTGCCAACTGTCGGGAGGGCCATCAGAGAAGCTCTGCTGAGCTGGCTGGTGGCATATGGCACTGAGGCTGGGCACCCTGGGGTGTCCCTGTGGCCCCCAGCAGCAGCAAGGGACAATCGGGGAGCTGGGGAAATGCAGCCTCCAGCCAGGATTTTGTCTGCACCTGGGACTTGCTCCCAGCCCCGGTCCAGTGGTCTCTGATCCCTGGGTGGTTTTGGCAGAGCCCTTTTGTCCCACTGGAGGACGGCTCGATGGCTGCACAAGGTCACCTCATCCTGCCTCATTGTCACAAACTGTGTCCCACGTGGGATGGAGGTGGCTGGAGAGGTGGGGACCACCAGCACTGCACCCCAATCTCTGCTGAGCCCCTCTGCGAGGGGACATCTGCATTGTGGGGGGGCTTCCCAGGCCAGCCTCGGCCACCTCACAGCCATGCCACCACCGAGGGGGACATCAGCACCCCCAGGATGGGCTCGTGTGTGCCACGGGCACTGAGCAGTGCGTGGGTGTCCCAGGAGGGCACGTGGCTGGTGCCCACTGTGCTGGGGGTGAAAACCAACGAGCAGCCCCCTCTCAGTGAGCCCCCGAATTGGCTCCATCAAAGAAGAGCAAGGAGGGCTCAGGCCAGGCTGAAATCCTTGAATCCAGGGGACAGATGTGCTCCAAGCTTTGGACACCCTGTGACACAGCAGTGCCCAAGGGTCTGTGTGCTCTGGAGGGCAGGACGGGGCTGGACACAGCTCAAACCACCCCCAGCTGCTGCCTCCACGCTGCCCCTTTGCCTGAGGACATCCCTCTCTGCCCCGGCATGTCTCCACTGCCCTCCTGGGGACACAGGGCTGGAACAACCCACTGCACCCTCAGACTCTCCACCAGACACTGCTGTACACTGCATCTGCTGTCTCTGTGCCCTCTGAGCCCCCGTGCCTGCCCCTGGCACCGTGCATCCCACCCTCCCCCGTGCCCGGCTCTGCCTGCCCAGCATCACAAACTGAAAATGAAAATCCCGGGGTGGCTCTCAAAGGAAGCCGGGCTGCCACAAAAAGTGTCCAGGCAAGCATGAAAAACCCGAGGGCAGGCAGGACAGGGGTCACTCCATGACCAGGGCTCCTTTTCTCCTGGCTTTTCTCTTTTGGAGCCGGGATCTCTTTGAAGTCCCAGAGCCCCTGCGGGGCACTCAGCCGCACTCACCAGGGATCGCCCCGGTCACGGATGCGTGTGCCAGGACTGGCTGTCCTGCAGGAGCGGCGGTGGGAGGGCTGGGGGAGGACCTCAGAAGCGTTTAGTCACGGTGGCTTGCGAAGCCGACGGGAAATGCAATGTCCAGAGGGAAACCCAGCGCCTTTCCTGCCGCTCCAGCACAGCGGCGCACGGGGATGCCCGCGGGAGATGAGCTGTGGCTGCTGCTCCCTCAAGCCGGGGGGGCACTGCGCACCCCTTGGTGACCCCACAGTGACATGGGGGGACGTTTCAGGCTGTGTCTGGAGCTCTCCCACCCGCCGGGAGCAGAGGAGGCAGGCAGGCTGGGTGCAAGCAGGATAGGTGCCCGCTCTGGAGGGACAGGATCTGCTGAGCCAGGCAGTGCCATCCATTGACGCAGTGCCACCATCCACCCCAGTGCTAGATGGTGGGGAGAAAACAGGGTGGGTTTTTCTTTCTCTGCATAATTGCCTTTTTTTTGAAAAGCTGTTTCTTCCCTGGCCTCATCACCATCTGCCCGTGGTGGCCGAGGAAGGCAGAGCCCAGCAGCTGTGGGTCTGGGCAGCTGCTCAGCCTCATGGCCAGGTCTTGATGCCGGAGGGCTTTGAGCCAGAGCAGCAAAGGGATTTGCTGGGCAAACGTGGATCTGCCTCACTGCAGCTCGGGGGGACCTGTTTCCAGCCCAGACAAGAGGCTGTGGGCTTGCCTCTGGTTGGCAAAGGTCTGTCTGGACTTGCAGGGCTGGGCAGCAAGGATGAGCACAGAGCAGCTCTGGCCAAGACTTCCAGGAAAACAAAACCCACCCCAGCCTGGCAGATTTGCCCTGGAGCAGTTGTGCCAGTGACCCCCGGGCAAGGGCGGGCAGTGCTGGCCCGGGGTGGAGCAGTGGCTCTAACCAGTACAGCCAGTGTGGAACCAGTGGAGCCTGAAGGGCCCTGGGAGGTGGGGTGGGATGCCATCCTACCTGGGATGGATGAGCCTGGGGGAATTCTTTGTGCCAACCCTGAGCACACACAGTTGTGCCCTCTCACCACACACTCAGCTCCTCACTTGTCCTGCTTCATCTGGGACAGGCAGTTCAGATCCCCGATCCAGCTGAAAACCACCCAATTTGTCCATCCCTTCTTCCCTCTTTCTCCAGTTTTCTAGTTCTGCACATCCCTCCAGCCAGCTCCCCTGTGTGAGTGCAGGGCTGTGCCTGAGCCACCTTCAAATCAACCCTGCAGCTCTGCTCCCACTTATTGGTTTGTGTCCCTGTTATAGACACAAGAAATGTCCCTGTCCCTCTTGCATCCTTGGGCAGCACAGACAACCCTTCCCAGGCTGGATTCTTCCCATCTCCAGGTCAGCCCTGCTGGAAGTGCCACCAGACCATTACATGTACAGCAACGCTGCCCACCCACCCCCTGAGAAATGGCCTCAAAATGCTCCCCTGTGCAGGAGTGCCACTGTTTTTCTTCTGGATTTGCTGTGGGAGTTCAGTTCCCCAGGGCCAGGGTGCTCCAGCCTCGCTGGTGCCTGGCACAGGGTGCTGGGATGGCTCAGAGATGGCAGGAGGCCACAGCATCCGTCACTGCTCCCCAGCTGCCCCACGGCCTTGTGACGTGGCCAACAGCCCAGGAGGGACAGAGGGCTGCAGGAGGGACTCACAATGTCTTGGAGTGGGATGGGAATGTGTAATCAAAGGGATTTTGCAGTGCAGGAGAGAGACTTGCAGTTCACGTTGGTGTAGTGCAGTGCAAGGGGTGTTCTCATAATGGGGAGGGTCCTGCAGTGCTTAGGGGGTCTTGCAATGTGTAGGACCCTGCAATTCAAGGAGGGGTCTTGTTTTACAGTGCTGTGTGTGTTTGGGGTCCTTCAATTTGACAGGTTCCTTCCTGGAGGGGCCTTTCCATGCTGAACTCGTGCTGGAGGAGAAGGTCCTGCAATTCATGGATGCTCCTGAAATGAAGAGAAAGGTCTTGGGGTCTTCCAGTTTATGGGGAGGCCTTACATTTCAAGGGGGGGGTCTTGCTGTGCTTGGAGCAGTCTTGCCATGAACTGAGGACTTGCATTGTGTGGGGCTCCTGAAATGCAGGGAGGGCTCTTACCATGGGGTGGGTGTCCCACAACTCAGCGAGGCTCCTAAAATGCATGGAAGGATCCCGTCAAACACCGGGGGTCCTCCACCGTGGGAGGATCCTGCAATCCATGGGGGCTTTTGCCCCGCAGGGAAGGGTCTCTGCATGCAGGGAGTCCCGCAGGAGCGGGGCGGGGACGCTGCCCTGCGGCTGGAGGGGGCTGCGGCGGGGTCCTGCCCTGCCCCGGGCCCCGGGCGGTGCGGGGCCGGGCGGGGGTCGCGGCGGGGCGGCCCCGGCGGGCGGGGGGCGGCGCCGCGGCCGCGCCGCTATAAGGGCGGCGGCGGCGGGGCGGGCGCGGCGGCGGCTCTCGGTGTCGTTCGCTCGGTGTCGGTCGCTCGGTGTCGGTCGGGCAGGATGACGGCGAACGGGACGGCGGAGCCGGTGCAGATCCAGTTCGGGCTGATCAACTGCAGCAACCGGTACCTGACGGCGGAGGCGTTCGGGTTCAAGGTGAACGCCTCGGCCGCCAGCATGAAGAAGAAGCAGATCTGGACGCTGGAGCAGGACGGGGAGGACTCCAGCGCCGTCCTGCTCAAGAGCCACCTGGGCCGGTACCTGGCGGCCGACAAGGACGGGCGGGTGAGCTGCGACAGCGAGGAGCCGGGCCCCGACTGCCGGTTCCTGGTGCTGGCCCACGGCGACGGGCGGTGGTCGCTGCAGTCCGAGCCCCACCGCCGCTTCTTCGGCGGCACCGAGGACCGCCTCTCCTGCTTCGCCCCCGCCGTCTCTGCCGCCGAGAAGTGGAGCGTCCACCTGGCCATGCACCCCCAGGCCAACCTCTACAGCCTGGCCCGCAAGCGCTACGCGCACCTGGGGCCCCGCCGCGACGAGCTGGCCGTGGACCGCGACGTGCCCTGGGGCGTGGACGCGCTCATCACCCTCCTGTTCGTGGAGCAGCGCTACAGCCTGCAGAGCTGCGACCACCGCCTGCTCCGCAGCGACGGCCGCCTGGTCCCCGCCGCCGAGCCCGGCACCGCCTTCACGCTGGAATTCCGCTGCGGAAAGGTGGCCTTTCGGGACGGGGAGGGCCGCTACCTGGCCCCCTCGGGGCCCAGCGGCACCCTCAAGGCGGGCAAGAGCGCCAAGGTGGGCAAGGACGAGCTCTTCGCCCTGGAGCAGAGCTGCCCGCAGGTCGTGCTGCGAGCCGGCAACGATAGGAATGTCTCCACCCGGCAAGGTACGAGGGGATGGCGGCTGCGGGTGGGGGGAACGGGACGCCTCGGCTGCCCCGAGTCGCAGGGCTGTAGCCGCCTCGGAGTGCGCTCCTGCATCCCTCGGGAATCGCCTGCCCCGAGCAGCCCCCCGGCTCCCTCCGGCATCTGCATCCATCGGGCACCGGCCGCCCCGAGCAACCCCTTGCATCCCTCCGGCATCACTTTCCCCTCCATCACCTCAAAATCGCCACCTCGGAGTGCTCCCCACTCCCCGCAGCACTGCCCCCAGCCCCCAACATCCGCTGCCTTCCTCAGCAGCCACCCCACAGAGTGCCCCCCCTGCATCCCTCTGCCTCCGTAGTGGCGTCTTCCCCCTGCTCAAACCCCTTCTCGCACCCCTCCTCTGAAACCTCCATCTCCCCCGGGCACCCCCTGCACCCCTCAGCATGGCTGCCCGCGGTCTCCCCCCCCAAACCCCATCACGATCCCCCCGCATCCCTCCCACATCCCTTCCCCTTCCCCCTCCCTCATCCCTTCAGCATCGCCTGCCTGGGGCCCCCCGTCCCTCCGGCACCCCCATTCCCGCACCATCGCCTCTGCAGGGCGCCCGGGGGGAGCAGGGGTAGCGAGGGGCCTGCCTTGGGGTGCAGGGATGGACAGGGAGGGGGGCTGGGAGGGTGTGGATGGAGTCTTCCCTCGCCGTGAAGGAGGCAGGGCTGTATCCCTCGCCTTCCTTCCTTCGGAGCTCATTGTTCGCCCAACAAAGCCTCCACCGATCTCCCCCTGGCCCCAGCGCGGCTGAGCCATTTGCCCAGCGGAGCAGGGGGGCTGCGGGTCCCGCCGGGGGCTCTGGTTGCCCCCGTGGACTTCCCACGGGTGGGGGGCTGGCAAGCAGCGTTACATAAAGGGCTTTGCCAAAACTCCCGCATCCTGCATCCCCCGCACAAAGGCCGCCGTCCCTCCGCACCCGCTGCACCGTCCCCGTCCCCTCCGCTCGCCGGAGGGGCCACGGTGCCACCCGCCTCGGGTGCCACCACCTCGGGGATCCCTCACATTCGGGGCCGCCCGCGGGTGCCCACCGAGCATCCCAGCCCCGCCGCCGGGGCTCCGTGCTGGAAGGCCGGGGGTCCCGGCTCTGGGGTGCCGGGGGTCACCGCTCTGGGGTGCCGGGGGTGCCGGCTCTGGGGTGCCGGGGGTGCCGGCTCTGGGGTGCCGGGGGTCCCCGCTCTGGGGTACCGGGGGTCCCCGCTCTGGGGTGCCGGGGGTCCCGGCTCTCGGGTGCCGGGGGTCCCGGCTCTGGGGTGCCGGGGGTCCCCGGTGTGCGCCCTGGGTGCCCCGGGGCTCATCGCCGGCGCGCCAGGTCAGGCCGGCGCACGCCGGGTGTGGGATGGGTGCGAGCATGCAGCAAAGCCTGCAGGAACAGCGGGGAATTTTTTTTTTGTGTGTGTGTGTGTATTTGTTGTATTTCAAGGTTGCTGCCTAACCCTGATCCGTGCCTGGGCAGCTCCGTGCGGGGAGCTCCATGCTTTTCCTCATGTCCGAGGGCAAATCCTGCAAAGTAACCCATTAAAAAATAAGAATAAAATCTGCCAAGATGGGCAGCCAGGATTGTTTTCCCCGGCACAGGGATTTGGGGAAGAGGAGGAGAGGATGGCGATGGCGGGAGGCTGCCGCAGCGCCGTGGGGGAAGGGCTGCTGCAGCTCTTTGTCACCAGAGATGGGAAAACCAGATGTGGGGGGAGATGCGAGGGACGGAGCGGTGGTGGGGGGACCCCGCGGTGGCGGGAGACCCCATGGAGAGGGTGGGAATGCTGCTGGCCGACCCTCCGGCTTTGTCTGGCTCGGAAGGGATGGGGGAGCGGGAAGGGGGGGAACAAATCTCCCCAGCAACAGAGGGCTCTGGGCTGTGCCCGGCCCCTTTCCAAGCAAAATACAGCGGGAAGGGCCGCGCTGGGGCTGCACATCCTCGCTCGAGTCCGTTTTGGCTGGAGAAGCCCTTTCCACCCGGTTTATCCTTCCCGATGGCAGTGAAAGGCTGGGAGCCGCCGCTTTCTGGGGCTCATCCTCCTCCCAGTGCGAAAGCGCCGTGTCCCAGAGGTTACCAAGAAGGCAGCAGGAACAGCCGTCGGAGGAAGCCGTTCCCAGACAGCCCTTTCCCCCGCCGAGCTGATAAGCTCCGTGCTGCTGGCAGATGCTCCCATGGCCACTGGGAATGGGGGATGTGGGATGCGGGCCGGGAGTGACGGTAGCTCGGCACAGCCTCGCTGTGTTCCTGTGTGGAGTCAAGGAGAGAGCAGGGATGGCAGTGGCTGCCCCCCCTCTGCCCCATGGGAGGAGCAGGGATGGGTCCACGGGGTTCTTCTGTGGTTCCCTGGGCCGGGATCCAGCTTTGGAACAGTGTTGTCCCACCAGTGCCAAGTCAGCTCCTGGCTTGGCGTCTCCTCCCTGTCCCGGGGCCGGCCGGTGCCAGCATCCCCTGAACACCGGGGAGCACGACACAGACAGCCCGGGGCCAGCAAGGGATGGGTGCCAGCCCTGCCCCTGCTCGGGACAGGCGCTGGGGGTACCCCTGGTACCCCTCTCCTGCCTCCAGCCGCAGCGGGACAGGATCCCCGGGTTCCCTGAGCGTTCCCATCTCCCGGGTGCACCTCAAAGCGAGCAGAGCCGGGCGCTGCCAGCAGCCAGCAGCCTCCTCTCCTCCCCGCTCAATGGCTCCTTTCTAGCCCGGCTGCGGCAACAAAGGGGCTTTGTGGGCGCCAGGGTCCCGGGGGCAGAGCGCTGGCGTCCTCCCCGCTGGTCCCCTGCCAGCCCCCCACCCGTGGGGGAGAGGGGAGTGGGCTGGCTGGGGAGTGAGGAATTCCAGGAGCGAGCCTGGACGTGCGGTGTTGGCAGTGGGGAGCTCTGCCCTGGGGCCAGGAGCCCTCCCGGTATGGGCTGAGCCGGATTTTCCCCCCTCCAGTTCATCTCCGTGCCACGGCAAGGCAGGAAGATGCGGCTCCAGGGCAGGGGGCACGCAGGCTTGGATGTAGATTTTCATCTGGAGATGCCAAGTGGCCTGTTGACACTTGGGGGATACCACAAAGCCACAGGAAATCCACAGGGAAGGAGGGGTGGGTTTTTCAGGAAATTCATGTTTCACCCCTACCCGTGACCCCTTTGCAGAGCTGCATCCTCAGCAGAGGAGCTGCCGGTTCCCCGTGCTCCAGGCTGTTGGATTTAGACAAAAACCTGTTTGGATTTCTGCAGGGGTGCAGTGTAAGCGCAGCTGAAGGGCAGGGAGGGGGCAGGAGCAGCCTCTGAGCCCTGTGTGGGTGCAGTGCTGGGTGCAGGTGCCAGAGCCCACAGGGAGCCCAGACCCGACCTGTGCTGGCAGCGCTGGGTGCAGCATCCCAGTCCCACCCTGAAATCCTGAAATCCTGCCCCGAGGGCCTGGGGGCTCTGCAGGGTGCTGCCCTGGGCTGTGCAGCGATCCAGGCAGTCTAGGCTGGGTGTTTGCAGCTGTAACCCTGAGGTTATAGCTGAAAAAAAGAGAGTTGGACGATGGGAAAGGTGCTCCTCCCCATGGAGCTCATCCCGCTGGCTCTCAGGAACATCCCAGCTCGGCTCACGGGAGACATCCTGTGTGAGTCTGTGCGAGCTCAGTGCAGAAGGAAACTTTTCTGCTGCCCCGAATGCCCCCACGCTGCGTCTGCAGTTCCCCGTGCTGTGGAGGTCAACAGAGCTCCGAGAAATTCTGCTCCTTTCGAGAGAGAAGCCCGGCTTTGTAGGAGGTACAGGGAGGTGTGGCCCTGCTCTGGGATCCTCCTGGTACATCCACAGTCCTGGCTGGAGAGCAGTGAGGGCTCCAGCATCAATCCTGCAAACCCACGAGCCTGGAAGCTTTGGCAGCTGAGGACTTGGGGAGCCCTTTCCTGCTCTCTGAGCACCCCAAACCCAGGGGCTCAGCTTTAGGAAACCTCGGGGTGACAAGGAGCCTCAGCCTTCCCAAGCTCTGCATTCTGCCCAGGATCCCTGCTGCACACAGAGCCTCAGGACATCCCACACCAGGAATTTTGGGGTGTGCAGGAGTACCTGCACCCCCCTCCCAAAGTGCTCACCCCCCTCCAGCCTCCAGCTGTAATTAGCAGCTTCGTCAAGGTCAGGAGGAGCAGCTCCAGACTGTAAATTTACCAAGAGCGTTAATTAATCCGTGATTGCAGTGGGAGCGGCTCCGGGCTGCCACAGCAGGGGGGTGGCTGCGGGGACAGCCTGTCCTCCCCACGGGGACATCGGAGGGTCCCGGGCAGCCCGTGGTGCTTCCCGCAGCCGTCCCCTGCCCCAGCCGCATTCCTCTGCGCTGAGTCGCTGTAACCCAACCCTGCTGCTTTTGGGGAGGGGGCGGTGGGGGAGAGACCCCCCTGCTGCCGGCTCCTTCCAGGCAGTGGCAAAAGCCAAAGCTCCCAAAGCTCCCAAAGCTCCCAAAGCTCCCAAAGCTCCCAAAGCTCCTGCAGTGTGGAAAATGGGCTGGCAGAGAGGGGTGCGTGCCCTGTGCTCCATGCCGGGGGGCTCTGGGGGGATGCAGCAGCGCCTGGAGGGTCCTGGCGCTCCCTGTCCTGTCCCCAGCCCGTCCAGTCCTGCTCTGTGGCACACAGCAGCATCCCCCGGCTCTGCCCAGCCCCGTCCCTGCAGGTCAGCGAGTTCTTCCCAGAAAAGCCAGCGAGGGAAGCGCCACTCCCACTCCTGCCCCGCAAACCACGGGGACCCACAGCTCTCCCAGGTTTGGGGGTGCTGCCAGCCTCGAGGGGTGGGCTGTGTGCCCCAGGGTCGCCTCCCCGCAGCCAAAGCTCTCCGTGAGCCCCTGCAGAGCCCCTCTCTCCGTTTTACAGCTCTGGATTGGGGCTGGAGCTGCCTGACTCCGGGATGCAAAATCAAAACCAAATGTTCCCGCAGCCGCCGGCTCAGCCCCCGCGGTGCTGGGAGGCGGCTCTGGGAGCCGAGGACGTGGCCACTGGGGCTGGGCTGGTGGCCACCAGCACCCACTGCCCCCCGCCTTGCCCAAATACCCAGGAAGCGCCAGGGTGGCTGCCTGTCCATCAGGAGAGCTGTGGAATCACAGAATGGTTGGGTTGGAGGGACACCTTCCACTAGACTGAGCTGTTCCAAGCCCCATCCACCCTGACACTGAACACTTCCAGGGATGGGAGCTGCAAAAGGTGCTGGAGGTGCCCGGTGAGACAGGGGTGCTGTGAGCAGGTGGAAGCTCTAGGCCAGTTGGGATGTGGGAGATAAGATAGATTATGGCCAAAAAAGTGAAGCCTTCAAAACCTGATCCCTTGGGGAACAAAGCCTGATCTTTGTGGGAAAGGTGGGTGGTAGATATGCAAAGCAGGGGCTGCTCCTGGGCGTTGGGATGGGGCCTGGTTGGAGACACGGGCAGGTGATGTGGAGCCCCAGGGAGCTGCAGGACAGCTGGGTGCAGCTGCTGGGACCTCCTGGTGGCCTCCCAGAGCACTGGGGCCACCAAGACTGCAGTGCCTGGAGCCCTTCCAGTGACTGTGTGCAGCGCTGGACATCCCAGCAGCCCAGAAACTGGGAGGTGTGAGGGGCTGGACGCGTGGCCAGCTCCCTCAGCTGCTCCTCATCAGACTTGTGCTCCTTCCCCAGCTCCATTTCCCTTCTCTGGACATGCTCCAGCACCTCCATGTCCTCTTCAGCAAGAGGACCAGAGCTAGACAGAACGTGGGCTTGAACCCTTTGCACCCCTTTGTGCGGCAGGGAGGGATGCAGGTGTGTTTGTCTCTGCAGAATTCACCCAGTTCCACTCAACTCCATTTCACCCAGCTCAGCAGTGGGGCTGAGCTCTGCACCCCAGCTCCCTCCCAGAGCCCAGCACAGAGCTCGGCCACTGGCTTTGGCTACAGCTTGTGGCTCACAACCCCAAAGTGTTTTTAGGCTGAAATCCACCAAGCTGGAGAGCTCTGGAGCAGTTTTGGCCCTGCTAGCCCTGACTAAGCAGGTTTGCTCAGGCTCAGAGGATGCACACGTGGCTGGTGGTGGCCTCAGGACCTGCTGCATCCACCTCTGCATGGAAAAGCTGTCTCAGGCCCTTGGGCACAGGGATGGGCCATCCTGGCTGCAGAGCTGGGAGACAGGCTGGTGCTGATGATTTTGGAGAGTCAGGGAAAGGTTTGGCTGCCTTAGGGCTTTCCTGAGCCTCCTGTCCCTGCACACCTCAGTGCTCCAGTGGGATGTGACAATTGTGGATGAAAAATGTTGTCATGGTCCTTAAACATGCCACGAGCTGGGATTCATGGGTGCTGCAGTGGCCTCTGCCAATGGGCTGAGTAACCTGGCTGTCACCTTTGGGAAAAACTGCAGCCCTTTTCCCTATAAAACATCTACGTCGGTCTTTGCTTCATTGTGATGGAGCTGCTGGGTCAGGAGTGGAAGCTCATGGTTGTCCACCCCTCGGTTAAGACCTTAACATCAAATAACCAAATGAAAACCTGGATTTGAACCCCAAATGCCAGAGGGGAGATCCGTGTGAGGGATTTGGGAGCCACCAAAGCCACCCAGGAAGCAGGAGCCCCTCTGAGTTGGGTTTCCTGGGCTGCCCTCCACCTGGACCTGCTGGAGGGGGGTTGTGATCCCACCCCCCAACTCCATCTCTGGTCTCTAGGGATGGACCTTTCGGCCAACCAGGATGAGGAGGGTGACCAGGAGACCTACCAGCTGGAGATCAACAAGGACACCAAGAAATGCGCCTTCCGGACCTACACCGGGAAGTACTGGACCCTCACCTCCAACGGGGGCATCCAGTCCACCGCCTCCACCAAGTGAGTCCCCGGCAGCTCAGGGCGGTGCCTGGGCTGCAGAGCACCCTCTGCATCTCCCAGGGGAATTCAAGGGGGACTTTCCAGCTTGGGTGCTCATCCCAAACGCTTCCCAGCAGAGGCAGTGCAATTTGGGAAAGCCAGGGATGGGTCGGGGCTTGCCGCCCACGATGCTCTGGAAGTCCCTGGGGCCACATAATCCCTCCTGGCTGGCTGGGGCTGTCGAAATGTTTGCCCTGCAGTTCAACCCTGAGAGCCAGGCAGAAACCCCAGAAGCGGCTTTGGCTGCCTGCCTGCCTCCTGCCCCCGGGGCGAGGGCTTCCCAGCGGGATGGCCACCACAGCGCAGCTCATCCTGCAGAAACAGATCGAATCAGGCTCTCCTGATCCAGCCGTGGCCCTTTCCAAGCCAGCAGGGTGGCAGTGGCAGGGTCCCCCTCCGTCACACCCCCCTGATTGTCCTCTCTGCCCCACAGGAACGCGAGCTGCTACTTCGACATCGAGTGGTGTGACAAACGCATCACCCTGAAGGCTGCCAACGGCAAGTACGTGACAGCAAAGAAGAACGGGCAGCTGGCAGCCTCCATGGAGACAGCAGGTAGGGGACACTTGGGGACCCCACACCGGGGCAGCAGGGGGTGAAAGAAATCCCTCCAGAGCCAGTCTCTTCTTCCAAGTGATGCTCAGGCAATAAGTTCTCTTAGCGGCTGTTGTGGTGGGGTGGGTGAGAAATGGATGAGGGCATGTTCTTTGCTCCTCACCGCTGCTGCGGCTTCGGGGTGTGGCTCTGTGCGCCCCTGGCTGCTCTCACAGCCCTGTCCCCTCGGCGCAGGCGACACGGAGCACTTCGTGATGAAGCTGATCAACCGGCCCATCATCGTGCTGCGCGGCGAGCACGGCTTCATCGGCTGCCGCAAGGTCACCGGCACCCTGGACTCCAACCGCTCGTCCTACGACGTCTTCCAGCTGGAGTTCAACGACGGCGCCTACAACATCAAGGGTGAGTCCCCGGGGCAGCTGCAGGCTTGGGGGGTGGCATTGGCCTTCGGGGTCCCCGTGGTGGCTCATGAGGCCGCCGTGTCCCCTCTCCTGCAGATACCACTGGGAAGTACTGGATGGTGGGGAACGAGTCGTCCGTCACCAGCAGCAGCGACACCCCCGTGGACTTCTTTTTTGAGTTCTGCGACTATAACAAAGTGGCCATCAAAATCAATGGCAAATACCTGAAGGGCGACCACGCCGGGGTGCTCAAGGCATCGGCCGACACCATCGACGCCTCCACCCTCTGGGAATATTAATGCACTTTAGGGTACCTCCTGTTGCCAACTTCTCTTTCCCTTCCTGTCCTCTTTTCCTTTGGGTTCTGTTTCTCCTCTCTGTAACAGGATTTTCAGACTGGCTTGCCCTTCCCTCCTGCCATAGAGTTGGTGCGTTATGTGGGAGGTGGGTCTCCGTAAATCCCTGTAAGAACTGGAAAAGTGGTGGGGCTGCCTGCCTATAGCTTTGTAGAGGGGTCTGTCTCTATCCCCCCATCCCTGCCTCCCTCCAGGTTTGCTGGGCTTGGAAATAGCCGTACCCCCCTCCTGGCCCTGAGCATCACCTTAGGTAGTTTATGTTCCTCTCCTCAATTAAAAAAAGGGAATAAGATCACCTCTGTGCTCGCTTCTGCCATATCAGCACTGGCACAGCCTCAGACTGTGCTGCCAGTGTCCCCTGGAGCATCTGTCCTGTCCTGCCCCGCTCCAGTCAGGGGTGGAGCGATGGTGCTGGGCTCAGCTGGCTCAGCTGGCTGCTCCCAGCAGCTTCTCTCCCCTCCTGGACTGTGGGGCAGGTTCATCCCCAGCTGAGCTGCAAGAGGTGACCTTGCATATCACAGCATCCCTGTGGAAGGGCCAGCACACTGCCCCTCCCCAGACACCTGGAAATGATTCTTTAGGGTGATCCTGTGTGGAAAGCCTCAGCCTTTCATCTCATGGAGCCACGTGCTCCTCCTGTCCCTCCACCCCTCCCTGTGCTTCTGGCTCTGAAGGAGCATCCCAGACCCTGATGGTGGGTCCAGCCTGCCCCGAGGCTGGTCCTGCTGCTGTGCCTGGAGGGGAGGGCGTGGGGGGACACAGCCAGCCCGTGCCAGGGTGGGGGCTTCATCCAGCCCACCTCCAGTGGGCTTTGGTCCCGGCAGGAGCCGGGCTGGCCGACGTGATCTTCCTGGGGCAGTGGCTGGAAGCATAAACTGCAGATTTTGGTTTACAGAATAGAAAAGTTCCTTAGCAAACTTTGCACAGTGATATTTGCTCAGTACCTTCGATGTTTTTTTTCTCTCTCGTAAAATACTGGAACAGTGAAGCGAATCACTGAACAATGATGCTGAATTAGGAAGCGCCCGCTCCCGCGGGCACCCCGAGGGAGCAGCTCCTGGTCCCCACCACCCCCAGGGCACCTGGGCTGGGCTCTCATGAATCGCAACCCTACTGGAAAAGGAAAAAAGAAAAAAAAGACCAAAACAGTATTTTTGTTAGTCTCTATTTATATATGCTCTCCATGGCACTGTGTGACCAGCTGTTGTCTGTACTAGGTCTGCATTAGAGTTTAACGCTGTCTGTAACGGGTGATGCTGCGTGTTCCTTAGGGTGTTGAAAGGCACTTTATCCTTTGGGGCCTTCCCAGGGCCGGTATCTGCTCCCTACAAACACACCAAGGAGCCTTTTCCCGCGTGGGCCCCCTCTGGAGAGGGGGAGCGCTGGTCCCACCCACGCCAAGGGTGCTCTCGGCATCGCTGCCGTGCCAAACCAGGGCCGGTCCCTACTGCCGGAGGCCAGGCAGGGGCTCGTCAGCCTTAAAGCCATGAGGAGGGACTCCCCTCCGCAGGAGCTTGGTGCTACATTCAGCTGGGAGAGCGAGTGGCTGTCCCCAGGCAGGGGGACACCTCTGGGCCGGGTCCCTCGCGGGCACAGGGATCCCGGCCGGGGCTCCGCTCGCATCCAGGGGCTGCCCGCGCCCCCGGCACCACGCGTGCCCCCAGGGACCACGCTGCCCTCGAAGGACCGAGTGTCTCGAAGCCCTGTGTGACCCTGTGACTTGACACACACACTCTCGCTGGCCTCCATCCCCTCCCCGTGTCGCCTCCTCCCCATCCCGTCACGCTCCCACCCATGTAATTCCTGCTCCGGCTTCTCCCGTGTGACACTAGGTCAAACATCTCTCCTGTTTCCTCTTATCGGGTGTCGTGACTCTCTGAAAACATCTCACTCTGAAAATTTAAGTTTTGGGTTTGTTTGGGTTTTTTTTTAATTATTATTATTTTTTTGTAAGTGCCATTTGTATAACTTAAAAAAAAAAATAGCTTCAAATGGAGAAAGATGAATTAAAAAATAAAACCTGCATTCGGATTCAACCTGGTGCGTGGTCTGTTGGGGCCGCAATGGCCTTTTAATGAGGCAAGAGGCTGAGTGTGGAGATTTGGGGTTTTGGAGCCTTTGTGTGACAAAAGTTGAGCTGGTTCTAGAGAGTTCTAGAGGAGATGGTGGGAAGGGAAGGGTGATTAAGAGGCTCCAAAGAGGTGCAAAGCCAAAGCCAGCTGGAGGCTGGGTCACCTCTGGAGATGCTCAGAGCAGCCTGAAGCCACCGAGCCCAGGGGCACTGGGGATGGGTGACCCATGGATGGGTCAGGACCAGCTGATCTGCAAGCCAGCTCTGCTGCCCTCACAGCCAGGAGCAAAGCTGTGCCCCCACAGAGCTTTTCCTCTTGATTCGGGTGTTTCACCTCCACAGGATGGCCCAGATGGGAGGGAAGAGCACTGGGATGGGGGATTTGGGTGCGTGGTTGGGTGGGGTCAGCAATCAGCCTCCTTTACTCAGGGATGTGGAGAAGGGCAGGACTAAAGAGGGAAGGGAAGCCCAGCCCACGTCCTGCCAATGGAGCCAGGATGTGCCCCCAGCCCTCCCAAGACAACTGAAAGCAGCCCTGAACCTCAACCAACAGCACCTCCAGCACCTGCACCGGGAGCAGCCAGAGCTTCCCTGCCCACCACAGCCTGGCTGGGCACCCACAGGCTCCTGCCTGCCTTGGAAAATGCCAAGCTGATTGGAAAAAGTGAAATTTGGGATGGGAGGCTGCCCAGCTCCCCCAGGCACACGTCCCAGAGGGAGCATTGTCTAGAGGGACCTTCACCGTCAGACTGGGGGGGTGAGCCAAAGGAAGGAAGGAAGGAAGGAAGGAAGGAAGGATGGATGTGCAGTCCTGACCATGAACAGGGAGAAATCAGGGCAGTGCAGGAAATGCTGAGCAGCTCTGATGGCCACACTCACCTCACTGTGACATCTGTGTGTGCACAAACCTGGCTGTGACACCCAGCCAGGGGAGCAGGCAGCTCTGCCAGCGGGTGCCCACCCAGGGCAGGGGCTCTGGAGCTGCAGGAAGGACTCTCCCCCTTCCCTCTCTCCCCAGCACACATTTCCTTCTTTCCCCTCAAGGATTCTGCATTTGCCATCATTCACCACCACTCCAGCAAGAGGGGAAATCCCCCCAGCCTTCCCCCTCCATCCTGGTTTCCATCGAAAGGAGTGACTGGAAACCATTTTCTATCCCATCCAGTTTTTCCTTGGGAGCACACGGAACAGGTTAAGCTATTCCAGGAGGGTCAATTGGAGTTTTGCAACCTGGGGAGCTTCTACTGGCACAGGCTGGGATCTGGCCCCACTCCCTGGCATGGTCCCAGCACCAGGCTGGCACAGGCAGGATGGGAGGACAAGGTCAAGGCTGTAAGAAAAGCACACAGGTGAAAGCCAGAGTGCACAAATTTATTTACAAAAATTCAAATTACAATATAATACAGGAACTTTTTACACACAGAATATTAGAACTGTTTACTACCAGAATGTAAAGAAAAATATTTTTTGGTTTTTTTTCTCCTTTTTTTTTTTTAATAAACCACCTATTTATTTTCAGCTATTGTTATACAAAGTTGCAGAACATGCACATCTTTACAGGTCTTTTTTTCTTTTAATACAACATTTTGCTAAGTGCAAATACTAAGTTTCTCTCTCCACCTTTAAGGCAAGTAAATGGGACACTGCAATTAGCTGTAAGAAGTACCTGTTATAGGATCAGCCTGGGCACAGCAACCTCCTCGTTGTTTTAAAACCTTTAAACAAGTGGTTCCAAAGACTGTGGGGCAGGAGGGAAACTGGGATGCAAGAGTTAGAGCCCAGGTCAAGGCTGGATTGGGTGGCTCAGTAAGTTTTGGGCTTTTTCTCTCTCTCTCTTTATTTTTTTTTTTTTAATAAATCAACACAAATTCAGAAACAACTTGAGATCTCCCGGGTTAGAGGGGAGGAGCAGCCACATGCTTGGGCTGCAAGTTTTTGGTGCAATGGGTATTTCCTCAGGGAAAGCAGCAGTGCTGGGTGTGCCAGGCATGGTGTACCTGCACATCACAGACCAGGCACTGATTTATCCTCTCTTGGACACAATAATCCCTTGGCTTTGGCAGGGAACCCTCCCTTCCCTCTGCATCCTCCAGGCCCCTCCAGGACCATGCCAGCTGTGCCAGGGCAGCAGTGACCCCGATGGATCACGGCCACCAACCTCCCTGTGCCACCTCTGCTGACGCTTCTCCAGCCCCTCTGCTCCACATCCACACTTCCCTCTGCCAAGGCTCAGTTCTCCATGCCCACACATCCCTGCACATGCACCAAAAGATGGGACTGGACCACCATTTTTTGCTGGATGCCCATCCTCTTTCCTTCTTAGTTTGGGCCACTGGTTCAGCAGCTGAGCTGTGCCTCCCCTCCACTGCCTGATCCTTCCTGCACCCACCAGGAAGGGCAAATGCCTTGGCAGGCCTGGGGGCTCATCCAAACCAGCCCTTGAGCCCATAAAACCTCAGCTATTAAACAAACAGGATTCCCTTTCCACGAGAGAAGCCACCACTGCTTCTCCTGACCTGGCTCTGTTTTCTCAGCAGCTGCTGTGACAAAGCCCTCCCTCCCCAAATCCAACAGGATTCCTGGTCCTGGCTGCTGCAGGAATTGGTGCAAGGCAGGATTTAAACCTGGTCAAAGCCCAGCTGAGCAGCAAGTGATAAAGCCCCTGCAGCCCCCAGACCCCTGCCAGGAATGAACTAATCCAAAATAGAAAATTCCAGCAGCAGGGGAACAGCAGTTGGTTATTAATGCTACAGAGGCCACGGCACGGAGGAGCCAGAGTGCTCCACAGGGAATGTTTGACCCAAAGGCAACGGGAAAAACACTCAGCTCCACAAGGCATGGAAGTCCTCCAGTCTGGGAGACCTTCCTGGGGGGAACAGTCCCAAATGCTGTCCCAGGCCCCTGTCCAGGAGCATCCCACTGACACCCGTGCCCAGAGCCCCCTGCACACCCGAGGGGATCCGGGGTCCCGGAGTGCTGCACGTGGGGCTTTGGCAGAAGCTGTGAGGTGGAGGCAGGGAATTTTACCTGAAAAAAACAAATAAACCCACAAAACACCTGGATGCTGAAATACAGGGGGGAATGACAAGAGGGGAAATGCACCCAGAGAGTTCCCAGCAGGACAGAACAGGATGAAGGCCAGAACAAAACATTTGGAGAACAACAGCACAACTGGGCTGCTAAAAGCCAGCCCAACATTCCTGGAAGAGGGTTTTTTCCACTCCAGCCATTTTCTTTTCTAGATGGGGCCTGTACCAGACAGCACAGCCAAGGGATGTGGAGAAAGGGCTTCGTGCCACCCTCCTCCCACAGCCCAGCACTGCACCCTCCACTTCTCACAGGGAAGTTTTGCTTTTCCCTCACTTTCTAAGCCCAGCAATACTCAGGTTTAACTTTTAACACACTTTTCCAAAGCCAATTAAGCTGACACACACATTTTCATGAGTTATTTGGTGCTGTGGAAGCAGCCAGCTTCCTGCAGCATGAAGCTCCAGCTGCCCATTGGGTTGTGAGGGTTTGGGAATGGGAGGCTCCCAGCTCACGGCAGCTACAGGGAACATTCCCAATTTTCCTACCACAGGACACATCACTGCCCACACGTCTATCTGGGTGTCTCCCAGGCAGTTTTGGCAATAAAGGGCACAGCTTTGGCTCCAGGTGGTTCCACAGCTGCCTGAGCACTGCTGCCAGAAGCTGGGGGAGATTTGGGATGCCAGATGAGAACAGCAAAGCAAAGGCCACATTTCAGAAGCTGAGGGCACACAATTTTGGAGGGAAAAACTGAGCCCTTTAAAGGGGGCAAATTTATCCAGCCAAAGATTTGGGTGTCCAAATCTCCTGCCACTTCCTAACACCCCCAAATAAACGTGGCTGTGGGCTTCCTAGCAAGACCTGAGCAATGGGACAGCTGCTGCAGCCCCTTGCTCTGCTTGGAGAGTGAGGAACACTAAAAATGCTACACTGACTTGCTTTTGAACAATTTATTTCTGCTGGGAGGTGCCAGCAGGATCCAGGGATGCTGGAGAACACAGGAACCCCAGCCCTGAGCCTCACCACAGGCAGGAGAGGCTGGGGCAGCTGCCTCCTGTTACCTCTCTCTTGAAGGTCTTATGCTTACTCAGATGCCAAGTGTCTCCTCCCTTCCTCCAAGACTAACTTTGCTGCTCTGGCCAGCAGGAAGGCAGGATTTTTTGGAAATTCCCCAAGGAGCAGCTGTATCCGTGTGTTCTACAAAGTCTTACTTTTCCTCCCAACAGCTGCCTGAACAGGCTTTTTGTCAAAACAAAACATCTGGATGCCCAGCTCAGGGGGGAATCCCACCCCTGGGAAACGTAGCACCAAACCCTGTCGCAGCACAGGTTGAAATGTTGGATTGCAAAGGTTTGGAGAAGCCCTCGAGAGGGTGCAGAGCAGGGACACCGAGTCCCCTGGCTACTGCCTAAACCCCAGAGGGGCTGGAGTAGGGAGGGGGTGACATTATGGGGTGGCTTTGCCCTGTGGTGACTCTGCCAAGTGCTGTGGGGGCAGGTCAGAAGCGGTGCCGGGGCTGAGGGCCAAAGTGCATAGGCAGGTTGTGCTCCAGCTGCACGTTGATCTGGGGAAAGTCAAAGTTCACCCTCATGTTGGGCAGGGGGGGCACGTAGGGAGCGGGGATGGGGCCGATGTTGAGGGGGATGTTGTTGTACATGGGGCGCACGGGGGGCAGGGGGAACGGGGGGTGCACGAAGGGGTACGGGGGCATCCGGGGCTGGTGGAAGTTCTGAGGAACCGGCCTGGGGATGACCTCGATCCTCTGGATTTTCTCCACGGGCTTCTCCACGGGAGGGCCGATGCGCTTGAAGCTGTTCTCTGCACGGGGA